GGGGGGAGGGGACTTGTGAAATTGGCCTGTCTAACTTGGAGAGCTCCGGTGGGTGTGAGTGGAGTGGGGGGGGGCAGAAGTAGGGGTGTCCGCTGCGCTGGTCATCCAGCAAGCAAAGCCCCCTCTCCGTTCCCCCAATGCTGCCGCCCCGACTCCTAGCCCCTCCCGATTGCTACCTCGGCTTCTCCGCAATTCCCCCCAGCCCCTCACTTATGGCTAGGATGCCCCCCCGTCCATCAGTCCCATCACACGCCCCTGCAATCCAGGGACCCCCTTGTCTCACCGCCCCGCGACCCCTTATCCCCGCCCCCAAGATCCCGGGTGACACCCCCTCCCCCAGCCCAGTCCCGCAACCCGGACGTGGCAGGCGGTGGCAGGCGGTGTGCGCCACGGCCCTGGATGCGCAACGAGTTGGCGACTTCCTCCGGGAGAAAGGATGGATGGATCGGCTTGGGGCGCTGAGCGCAGCCGGGACCCTGGCCAAGCGGGGATGAATTCGGGGTGGGGTGGGTGGGTTCGGGGGTGGGGTGGTGGTACCATCGGGCCCCTCCGACTTTGGAGAGCTCGCGTGGATCGGCGAGGTGGCGGGGGGGGGGGTGTGGTAAAGCCGGTAACGCGGCTTCGGGCCCTCGTCGGTCCCGGGGCACCTGTCGGGGCCTCTCGGGGAGAATGGGGAGGGGAAGATGAATGTGAGCCCCGGGGCGGAGATGGAGTGGTGGGGAGGAGCGGTGGGGAGGAGCGGTCCTCCGCTGCCCGTGGTTTGGGGGAGCGGGAGGGAGGGCGGGAGGGGGTGCCCAAACACCTGGCTCTGCTCTGGCGGACAAGCTGGTCCCGCCAGGCCGGGCAGGCACGTCCTGGGCCCCGCCAGCCTGCGCTGCGGCCCACACTCTCCAGCGCGTAGCCGGTCGGGGCGGGGCGGGGCGGGGGGGGGAGAGCTAATGAGAAATTATCTGGATAGTTTACATTTTTGGGGTCTGTATCCGCTCCCTGACGGAGAGTACCCATTTATCCTGATAGTATTGCAGCGACTCCCCGCCTTCACCTCCTCCTCCTCCCCAACCTAGATCCTCTGGTCTTCCACCCCAGGTGGCCTCCTTCTCCTCCCCCCCCCCCCCCCCCCCCCCCCCCCCCCCCCCCCCCCCCCCGTCTCCACCTGCGCAGGCCCATTCCCCAAGCCCTGACGATGGTCTCCACTCAGCTTCCCCAGCCTTATTAGGTCCATGTCCACGCACACCATTAACCTTTCAGGGCCATAGAATGGGACCCAGTCTACCTCCCAAGTTATGATAGGACAAACAGGGGCCTGCAATACAGCAGGTGAGAGGAGGAGACCTTGGAAGAAAGGAGTGTCCTTCCCCACTTTCTTCCTCACCCCACCTTTACCCTTTCCATCTGGGTAGTATAGTGTGCCCCCCTCCCCAAAGTAAACTGCTGATCCAAGGGAAATCAGGATGAAAACGGTGATGGAAATGAGTCCGGAGATTTAAAAGAAGGCCATAGACTCCAGAGCTCCTGTCCCAGCCCTAGTCGATGTGCCCACGTACCCGTTTGGAACCAGAGCCTCCTTGATAGATGGGGAGCCTCTGAGACAAGGATGCTGGGCCGCTGGAGCTTGGAACTGGAGGGCTTCTAGCTCAGACCTGTCCAGTGTTGACAATCAGATGTCACATACGAGCCTGAATTTTCAAACTCTGAAAAGATAGGAAGTCCTGCATTGAGCCATGATTTTTGCCTGTAGACCTTTAGCTGGAGATGAATAGCAGATGCTCCTTTAGATGGCCCACTTGCCCTCCCATTTTCCACAACACATCTAAATTTACTATTTATTGCTTGTGAGTGTACCTACACATGTATGTTTGTGTGCATGTATGTATATACACACACACATATATACATATGGAGCCAGTGCAGATGCCCTCAGCATGTGCATATAAGCATATGTACATATATATGTGTGTATATATACATATATATATATATTTGCATTTCCTCTCAAAAGTGCTTGAAATGCTTCCTTTGAGTTTCAAGGCAATTAGTTCCTTGAAAAGAGCTAGCTAGTGTCACCTGCTCCAATAAAATTGTCCTCTAGTTTCCCAGCTGAGACGGTTTTCCTGCTGGTCAGATGCGCGTGGTCTAGAAGCTGATTTCAGGCAGGCCTGGGTAAGGTCTGACTAGGAAGGAGGCAAAGAGGAGGGGGAGGCTAAGAATCCTTGGTGATGAGGAGGGCACAAAGAACGCAGAGATGCTTGAGAGAACTTTTCTACCCTGAGGACCCCAGGAGTATGCACAGATAGTGAGAGTGAAGTCTCAGACCTAGGTTTAGTGCCCCCTTTGTCTGAAGCAGTATTTGCAGGTCTGCCCACTTCCACCCCAACTAGTGCTGCCATCAGGAGTAAAACAGATGGAGAGAGATCACTGGTTGCTGGGACCATCAACCACAAAGAGAAATGCAGATAAGGAAATAGCATGTCAGGGTTCAGTAGTAAGGTTCAATCCAGATGATACAGAAAATAATATTGCTTTTTGAATGACTATAGGAATACTAGACTCAAAATGATTTTTTGGGGGGGTCGGTCGTGGGGCTTGAACTCAGAGCCTGAACACTGTTTCTGAGCTTCTGAGCTTCTTCTTCTTTGGAACTCTGGGCCTGGGCACTGTACCTGAGCTCTTCAGCTAAAGGCGAGTGCTCTACCACTTGTGCAACAGCGCCACTTCCAGTTTTCTGGTGGTTAATTGGAGATAAGGGTCTCAGGGACTTTCCTGCATGGGCTGGCTTTGGACCATGATCCTCACATCTCAGCCTTCTAAGTAGCTAGAATTACAGGTATGAGTCACCGGGCCAGGCTCCTGAGCTTCTTTTGCTCAAGGCTATCACCCTATCACTTTAGTCAAAGCACAACTTCTAGCTTTTTCTGTGTATGTGGTACTGAGGACTCGAACCCAGGGCTTCATGCATGCTAGGCAAGCACTCTACCACTAAGTCACATTCCCAGCCCAAAATGAATTTTTTGTTATGAGAAATGCAACAGGTAGCCCTTGCTATGTGCCAGCACTGTTCTAAGCTTGCTCTTTTCTTTCTCCTTCCTTCCTTCATTTTATCTCTCTCTTTCCCCCTCCCCTCTCTCTTTTCTCTCTTCTGCCTTGGGCTTGTACCCAGGGCCTCTCATTCACTTGACTTTCTTGCTCATGGCTGGTGCTCTATCACTTAAGTTATACCTAGCAGCTTGACTTTCTGTGGTTATTTGGAGATACAATCTCTTGGATTTGGCTACCATAATCCTTCAGATCTTAGCCTTCCAAGTAGTTATGATTTCAGGCATAAGCCACCATGGCTAACTCATGTAACTTATAATTAACTCACCTAAGCTATACTAACTCATGTAACCTATAACTCACATAAGCCATACTAACTCATGTAAACTATAAACAACCCTCATGCAGATAAGAAAATGAGCTCCGATCAACTAAGCAACTAACCCAAGGTAACACAGCTAATACGTAGCAGAGTCAGCAATCCAAACCAGGCAATCTAGCTCTCAGATTCATGCCTGTAACCATCCTGTTTTGCCTCTCGGCCTCTGAAACGGTATGGGAGCTGAAGATAGCAGCTTGGTCAAGTCGGCCACAATCTGTGGGTGATGGGGGTGTGTACAAGGGCTGGAGAGGGTGGGAAGGTTTTGGAAGGTCACAAAAGGAGTGTTGGAAGGGGCTAGGAGGGGTTGCAGCTGATGGGGCACTGGGGGTGGCTGGGGGCATCACTGCTGGCTCGGGCCACAGCACCAGGTGGGATCCATCAGCTTCATGTAAACACTTCTCACAGGCAGCTTAACCACTTGAGTGTGTCTGGCCTTCAAAGCCAGTGGGAGAGGCTGAGAGGGAGGCACCAAACTCCTCTGGCGGGGGATAATGATTTATCTCCTGTGCAGGTGGGCTCCCCTGAGAGGCCAGGGGGGTAGAGTGGGCACTTGGAGGCTGAGAGAGGGAGGGATTGGGGAGCAGGGGGGTAGAGGGTACCTCCATGCTAGCATCTCAGAGGTATCATTTAGGAAGCCAGTTATCTCCCTTTTATAGATGAAGAGACAGACGTGCAGAGTAGCCACCAGCCAGTGCCCAGGAAGGTGATGCTCCCCATGGCATTCACAGAGCTTCCTGTGCTTACAGGCCAAATGCTTACTGCGATCTCTCGTCTCTCTGGAGTGTGAGTGTGTGGGGCAGAGAATGGGTCAGGGTGGTCAGAGTTATAAGGAGTGTGGATCAGAATGTGGCTTTGTGAGTGGGAAGTGGAGGTCTGCACCTCACTCTCAAATTGGGCTCCAGTGCCCAGATGTCCAGCTTTCCAGACACATCCCACTGGGGCAGGACCAGCTCCCTGCCCCCATCACCCGAGCCGCCCTGGTCCAGAGCCCTGGCTCTCTGGGCTGGGGGATTATCTCTGGCCAGGGCAGGCATTGCTGCCTCTTTTATCCGTTCACAAAAGCCAGGCTCGCCCAGCCTGCTGTGTCAGAGTTTCTGTGGCCTGGGGAAGCCTTACTTCCTTTTCTCCCGCCAACCCTGGAAAGCCATACAGTCAGCCAGCTTGCCGGGGGCCACTACTCCAGCTCCAGGACAGGTGAAAGGCACCTGGGTGACTCAGCACTGGGAAGAGAAGGCTGATGGGTGGTCACTCATGGAAAGACAAAGAAAGCGCCTCTTCAAATGACAGGCTGTTACTGTAGCATGACGTCTGTAGAGTAGACTTTAAAAAGGACTTCTAGTAGAGCTGGCTAATATTTGTCAGGAGTGGGGTCATCTGGTTCCCGTGACGGAGAAAATCCCAGTGATCTGCAGGTTTGCTTTGGGTGCTCACCATTGTCTAGCTGCTCAGATAGCTGGCTCTCAGGGTGGGCTGGGAAAATTCTACTCAATAGAGGAACAGATTTCTTTTCCCAAGGTACAGGTTGGGGGTCCTTGTGCCCAAACATTCTCATGACTTCCTGGGCAGGAAAACATGTGGGGAGGTAGAAGGTGTAAGATGAGAGGGTAAATGAACTCTTCTGTCTCCTTCCTGACAGGTTGGCTTTGGGGGGGGTCTTCCCTGCTGAAGTGACAAGGAGGCTCTCCGGGTGATGCTCCAAGGAGGCTCCAGGGACCAGTCTCTCTGAGGACCTCTGTGTGAGCTGATGGAGGACCCAGCTTCCCACACCCTCTCTGTCCCCAGCTGAGATTATGGTGGATTTGGGCTCTGGCCCAGGCCAGGGCCTCCAGCTGCTGACCCAGCCCCAGCCCCAGCCTCAGCCCCAGCCCCGGAGGCATTAGCCAGAGCCCTGCCGAGACCACCCCTCCTGCCAGGGGCCTGGGGCTGGCAAGTGACTATGCGGCTTGGACTGTGTGTGGTGGCCCTGGTTCTGAGCTGGGTGCACCTCGCTGTTGGCAACCGGGGAATCAAGGGCAAGAGGCACAGACGGAGTGAGTACCTGAGTGGGGGAGGGGGAGAGGAGCATGCCATGGGGAGAGGGGAGGACTAGAGGCCTTGGGTAGCTCACTCTGGGATGGATGCTTTGTAGATAGTAGATCTTTCTGCTGGTAGATTACCCCACTAGTGGATTAACTTGTTGAAATTACCTACTCGGGGATGACTCCTTTTGTCTGCCTTCCCCTTTGAGGACTGCTACCTGGATTAAGCTCTCTTGTGAGGGTCTAGTTTGTGGATTGCATCTCTAGCTTTGTGTGGTATCCATGGCAATGCTTCCTGGCCCTGCTCTAGCATGCTCCTTCCTACTTTCCTCACCCACCCAGACGTTCAGGGCACCTTTCTTTTTGTGGTGGCTGAAGTGTGATCCCGTGGGGGCAGGAATCCAGCACATCTAGGGAGTGGGCACCAGGGTTTCCCTGGCAGATCATGGGCAGGAATAGCAGGGGTTGTAAGGCCAGGAGATTCTCCCATCCCCTGGCTTTTAACCAGGCCAGTGGGATTCAAGGAACTGTGGTAAGCATGATGGTAAGGCAAGCAGGGAAGTCCGGCCTTCCTACCCTCCAAGCCAGGCAGCTTCATGTTTCTCTGCTTTCAAAATGACCTTCCATGTAAGATAGTGGGTTGGAAGAAAGGTTTTAAAAGAAAATCAAGTCAGGCAATGATGTCTCATGCCTGTAATCCTAGCTACTCAGGAGGCTGAGATATAAGGATCATGGCTCAAAGCCAGCCCAGGCAAGAAAATCCATGAGACTCCTAACTCCAATTAACCAGCAAAAAACCAAAAGTGACACTGTGGCTCATGTGGTAAAGCACCAGCCTTGAGTGAAAAGTTAAGGGACAGTGCTCAGGCCCTGAGTTCAAGCCCCAGAAATGGCTTGTGTATGGGCACATGTGTGTGCGTGCGTGCATGCACAGGTGTGTGTGTGCACGCACACACACACACACACACACACACACATTCTTGTATAGATGCTAAGAACAGGGAAGGTATAGGCCAAAGTGAGTATTGCAGCCTAGGTCTCTTGAAGTCTGTGAGCCCAATGTTCTTTTTATTCTTGTGTGTGTGTGTGTGTTGTGTTTCCATGTATGTGTGTGAGTATGTGTGCATATTCAGGTGCATGTGTGCATGTGCTGTACTAGTACAGGGACTTGAATTTATACTCTCTTTGAGTAGCTTTTCCACTGAAGGCTGGTGCTCTGCTTCTTGACCTATGCCTCCACTTTGTGCTTAATTGGAGGTAAGAGTCTTATCAGATTTGTCTGCCCAGGCTGCCTTCAAACCAGGATCCTCACAGCTTCCTGAGTAGCTATAAGCTGCCAGCACCTGGCTCACAGTTTTCTTAAACACAGAGCTTGGTAAAGTTCAAGATTAACCTGCTATCCGCCCCTCCTCTTCTTTCCCCTAATCTCAAACATTCCTTGTGCTCAGTATTTTCTTTTTTTGGGGTGGGGGGCGCGATCTGGTCCTGGAGCCTGAACTCTGGGCCTGGGTGCTGTTCCTCAGCTCTTCAGCTCAAGGTTAGCACTCTACCACTTGAGCCACAGTGCCACTTCCGGCTTTTTTCTTTTTGCTTATGTGGTGCTGAGGAATCGAACCCAGGGCCTCAGGCATGCAAGGCAAGTGCTCTACCACTGAGCCACCTTCCCAGCCCCTGTGCTCAGTATTTTCAATGATGGTAGCTAGCCATTTATGTTATGGGAGTGGCCATGATTGTGAGCAGCCCCTGCTGAGGAGTGGGGTGGAGCCCTCTGGACTCCCCCCTAGGCTCTCTTTCAACATTTCCCCCATAAAGAAAAGTTGTGCCAGCAGACAGGAAGTCTTCCTGAAGTCTCGCCCAACTCCCTCTTGCTTCTCTTTTCCCTGCAGACTGACTTGGGCCAGGGAAGGATGAAAAGCAGTAGAGTTTTATTGGGTGTTTCTGGGAGTAGCCAAGGCCAGAACTCAGCCCAGGAGAGAAGCTCAGAGAATTGGTGAAGCTGAAAATCCCTGGCTTAACAAACAATTAGAGACGGTTAGGTTCATTCAGCAGCAAGGCCTTGATTTTCCTCCCTTCTCTGTTCCGGACAGTGTTTTAAACTATACAGGCCAGATGTAGTTTAGTGGTTTGTAATCAGTCTCCTCTGTTTGAGAGAGAGAGTGAGTGAGAGAGCAAACGAGTTAGAGATTGGGAGAGAGCAAACAAGTAATCGAGCAAGTGAGGGAGAGAGAAAGTCCATGTTCATACAATATACACAAGTGTTTCCACCTTTGCTCACTCATACAGGAACACACACAGCGGCTGAACCAGGAGCCATCAGCCCTGGGTTCAAGTAAGTTGAACTAACAAAGTCATGGACTGGGCATCAGTACGGCCTGCAGTGGCCATGTAATGTAACTTTTTTGTTTTTATGTGCTGGTACTGGGGCTTGAACCTAGGGCTTGGGTACTGTCCCTTAGCTTTTTAACTCAAGGCTGGCACTCTACTACTTGAGCCACAGCTCCACTTCCAGCTTTTTGATTGATAGTAAATTGGAGATGCGTTTCATGGGCTTTCCTTCTCACACTGTTTCTGAACCACTATCCTTACACCTCAGCTTCCTGAGTAACTAGGATTACAGGTGTGAGCTATCAGTTTCTAACTGTAATGTAGCATTTTGATGTGTCCACTTTGCCCATAGTCATACCCAGTGGTATGGTGATGGTGAAAGTTTAGGTTGGGGAGAGGGGGAAACCCAGGGGTACAGTGAGTGTCCAGGATGAATCAAGGCTGGGCAGACATGAGGGTGTATGCTGTTAGGCCTTCCTTGTTAGTTAATGATCATAAAAACCACAGTTGTAAAGCTAGAATCTAGACTGAGGGGTGTGGTCTGTGTGGTAGAGTGTTTGCCAAGTATGAAGTTCTGAGTTCAAATATCCGTATGGCCACAAGAAAAAGAGAAGTTTCTATGTGGATGAAGTGTGATGTGTGCAGAGAACAAAAACAGATATTGCTGAGGAATAGAGTTGAGGGGTGAAATAGGAAGAAAATTACTCATAGAAGTTTTTCAGACCCAACAAGGAGCTGGGTCTTTCTTGTATATAATAGACAGCCATTGATGGTTTTGGACAGGGTTATGATGCCCATCCATTTTTTTCTCTTTTTTTTTTTAAGGGGAGTGGTCCTGGGGCTTGAACTCTAGGCCTGAGCACTGTCCCTGAGCTCCTTTTTGCTAGTACTCTACCACTTGAGCCACTGTACCACTTCCAGCTTTTTTTGTGATTAATTAAAAATAAAAGCCTCTTGGGGCTGGGAAGGTGGCTTAGTGGTAGAGTGCTTACCTTGCATACCTGACACCCTGGGTTTGATTCCTCAACACCACATAAATAGAAAAAACTGGAAGTGGTGCTGTGGCTCAAGTAGTAGAGTGCTAGCCTTGAGCTGAAGAGCTGAGGGACAGTGCCCAGGTCCACAACCGACAAAAAAAAAAAAAGAGTCTCACAGACTTTTCAGCCCAGAGTTGGCTTTGAACCACAATTCTCAGAACTTAGCCTCCTGAGTAGCTAGGATTACAAACGTGAGCCCCCAGCACCTGGCTCCATTGGAGTTTTTATTTTTGGTAATAGAGAAATGCCCAGAGATGAGGGATGAGTTGGGAGTTGGAAGAAGTGAGGACTTTGAGGAAGAGGGACTGTGATCCAGAAATCATTCTTCCTATAGGGTTGGCTTAGCTCAGCCACCCTGGGCAAAGCTCCTTATAGCAATAGCATCTGGACAAAGGTGTGCACCAGGTGGAGGGAGGCCGGAGTGGGAGGGCACAGGGAGACCCAGCTGCGTAGAGCAGGGAGCTGGGAAACAAAGGCAGCCAAGGAAGAGCTGGTTGGGTGGACTGGAACGGCCATGCTATATATAAAGTCAGGAAGGAGGCTCCATGCCCTCTCGTTTTTTGTTTTGTTTTGTTTTTGTCGGTTGTAGGTATGAACTCTGGGTCTGGGCGCTGTCCCTCAGTTCTTCAGCTCAAGGCTAGCCCTATACCACTTGAGCCACAGCACCACTTCCGGCTTTTTCTGTTTATGGGGTGCTAAGGAATTGAACCCAGGGCCTCATGCATGCTAGGCAAACACTCTACTACTGAGCCACCTTCCAGCCCTCCATGCCCTCTCTGCCCTTCCTCCTCGCTGAGCCCACCCAGCCTCTTAACCAGGCTATGGGCACCTGACTACATCCCTAGCCTGTAGCTACCCATCATGAAAGCAGCAGGAGGGAGCCTTCTGTGCTCCTCCTTCTTGTCAATGGAACAGGGTCCTGTGTTCTACTGTGTGGTCATTTCACAGTCCCCAGCACCCAAGGTCTTTGCACAGCAGTTCTTCTCCTGTGGCTTGTCACTTTCCCTGGCCACCTGGGCCATTCCTCTGGAGCCACACATCACACTGTGCAGCCAGCCCTGCCTCCCTAGTGCTGGTGGGGCCAGCTCCTCCCAGATCTGGGCAACTGTCAGGTGTACAGGGGAAAGAATGAGTCTCAGGTTTCCCCTCTGAATCCAAATACTCAGCACCTTGGGCCTTCCACTCAAGGTAAGCCCCATCCTCACCTTCATAGCTCCTTTTCTGTGACTCCCTGTGTCCTCAAGCTGAGGGTATCCTTTGGCTTCATTTCCCTTTGAGAAATATACTCCCCTTTTTTTTGCCAGTCCTAGGGCTTGAACTCAGGGCCTGGGCTCTGTCCCTGAGCCTCTCTGGGCTCAAGCATAACACTCTACCACTTGAGCCACAGTACCACTTCCAGCTTTTTTAGAGTAGTTTATTGGACTTTCCTGCCTAGTCTATCTTTGAACTGCTATACTCAGCTCTCAGCCTCCTGAGTAGCTAGGATTACAGGCATGAACCACCAGTCTATCTATAAACATCTTTTGTTTGTTTTTTGTCACGGGGCTTGGCCTCGGCCTGGGCGCTGTCCCTCAGCTCTTCAGCTTAAGGCAAGGGCTCTACCACGAGAGCCACAGTAACACTTCCAGTTTTCTGGTGATTAAGGGTAGAGATAAGAATCTCATGGACTTTCCTGCCTGGGCTGGCTTTGAACCATGATCCTCAGAGCTCAGCTTCCTGAGTAGCTAGGATTACAGGCGGGAGCCACTGGTACCCTGCTATAAACATCTTTTTACCCATTGAACCAGCCCCTGACCATCTCTGAGCCCCATTTCCAAGTCCTGTGTGTATGTGTGTATGTACACATGCATGCAAGGAGTCCTGGGGCTTGAAATCAGGGCCTGGGTGCTGTCCCAGAGCTTTTGGCTCAAGTGTAGCATTCTACCACTTGAGCCACAGCTGTACTTCCAGCTTGTTTGTTTGTTAATTGAAGATAAGAGTCTCTTAGACATTTCTACCTGGACTGGCTTCAAACTGTGATCCTGATATCTCAGCCTTCTTAGTAGAAGGATTACAGGCATGAGCTGCCAGCGCCTGACCTGACCTGTATCTTTTTATCTTATTTCCTCCTGTCAGCGTACCTGCCTCTGGGTCTTGGATCATATTCTACACCCGTCTTTATCCAGTCCTCAGCTCACTGGGGCTTGTTTGGCTTCATCTACTCCATTCAAGCTGCCCTTCTTAGGATCATTCAGCTGCTTTGAGGCTCACCAGCCTTGGCTTCCTCCAGCTCTGGTCCCTGAAGAACTTCTCTTTTCTATCCCAACTCTCGGTGTTCCCTCCCTGAGTCTCCTTACCAAGAACCCTCTTCTTCTGCTTCTCTGCCCAATGTGCATGTCACTGAGGCTCATCCCCTCACTGCACAACTTCATTTTGCCATTGCCCGTCTGCTCCCAGGAATCCAGCCAACAGCAATCATGCGCCCCAACTAACCCCCAAGTTGTCTGCTCCACAGCCAACTTCTTGAAGAAGATGGCACTACTTCTTCTCTCTACTCCTCCCTTCCTTTTTTCCTCTTCAGCCACTGCCTGCCCACCCCTTCATGACCTATCACGCCGCTGAAACTGCCCCATCAGGGGGCCCACCTGTGTGCTCCCCATCCCTTACTGGACATCTCAGAGCATCTGGAATGTGGAGACCACACTTTTCCATCCCCTGGCTTCCATGAGGTGATATACTTTTCCATGGCCTCCCCTCTCACTCTTAGTTGGCCCCTCTTTCTCTGGCCTTGTCTCTCCTACCCTTGGTACCCATTCTCTCCACTATCTTGAGGACTCACTTGCTTTAGATGGCTGATTTCATGTCTGGCTCCAACAAGATCGTTTCTGTGTTCAACATTCTGAGAGACACAGGAACCTCACAGTCAGCATATTATCCCCTCCCCACCCAAGACCACTCTTCCTGTGGGGTCCCTACATCAGCGAGGGGTGAGAGCTGCCATATTGTACAGGTCCAGTGTCTCAAGGTGACCTTGACTTGTGCTTTGCTCTGACCCTCACCGCTATACCTGGCATATTGCCTAATCTTATGGATTCTACCTGTGAATATCTTCCCTCCTCTTATTTCAGATCCAGTTATTCTCCCTGGGAGTTGTTTCCCACCTCCTCTACCCCCGACCCCTTCTTGGAGCAGAGAGTCAGTACTGAGGTTCAAACACAGAATTTCACACTTGCTAGCCGGGTGTTCTACCAATTGAGCTATACCTCTAACCCTGTCTTATGTTTTATTGAGACAAGATTTTCCAAGGCTGGCCTGGGATTGACAATCCTAAACCAAGTATGATGGTGTAATCTCATTAACAGGCTGAGACTGAGGCAGGAAGATCTCAAGTTTTTCAATTTATTTTTTTAGTTGTTATTATAAAGATAATATATAGAGTAGTTACAGTTATATAAGAGATCTCAAGTTTGAGGCCAACTCCAGACCTGGTCTCAAAAACAAAACAAAGATAAAAGCAGGGTGCTGATGTCTCATTCTTTTTTTTTTTTTTTTTGGGTCCGGTCATGGGGTCTGAACTTTGGGCCTGGGCGCTGTCCCTCAGCTCTTCAACTCAAGGCTAGCACTCTACTACTTGAGCCACAGCGCCACTTCCGGCTTTTTTCTTTTTGCTTATGTGGTGCTGAGGAATCGAACCCAGGGCCTCAGGCATGCAAGGCAAGTGCTCTACCGCTGAGCCACCTTCCCAGCCCCATGATGTCTCATTCTTGTAGTCTACTTAATAGGTTAAGATCAGAGAATCTCAGTTTGAAGCTAGCCTGAACAGGAAGGTCTGTGAGACTCTTGTCTCCAATTAACCACTAAAAAGCCAGAAGTGGAACTGTGAAACCAGAAGTGGTTCAAGTGTAGAATGCCAGCCTTGAGTGAAAAATCTAAGGGGTAGTGCCTAGGCCCTGAGTTCAAGCCCCAGTATGGACACACACACACACACACACACATACACACACACACACACACACTCTCTCTCTCTCTCTCTCTCTCTCTCTCCTCCCCCCCACCCCCCGTTCTCCTCCCCAGCTCCCAAATGCTGCAAATTATGGATGACCACCACCACACCCACATTCCACTGAGTTCCCACCTGGGAATTTTCTGATCCCCCTTTGCCATCCTTACAACCCATTTCTACCCATGTCTCAACTCCTTTCTGTGGGCTGGAGACTTCCCTGGAAGGCAAGCAATCCTTTTTCTTATCCCAGTTCCTTCTTCTCTCCCCAGCTCCTGTCTAGCCACCCACTCCAACCTCCAATCATGCTTAACTAATTTCAGGGCCCAGAGTGCACCATATTTTGCCTGTCAGTGCCAACAACAGCATTGAAGATGTGCTGGGTAACTGGCAATGGGCACAGGAGTTCTTCAAAGGCCTTTGCAAATCTGTCCTTCACCAAAATGGTAAGGAGGGGCCAGTTACAGCAGCATAGCCACAGAGAGCTTCCAAAACCCACCTGGCTCACTCCAGTCATCGACAGTGCAGCAGAAGCCAGCATTCAATTCCACAATGGGTTTAGAGAAAAATCAGTAATTGGGATTCAGCATCTTCTTTGGAGATTCTGGAGTTTGAACTCAGACCTCATGCTGATTAGACTGGTGCTTTACCACTTGAGCCATGCCTCCAACCTGGCTTTTTGCTCATTATTTATCGATGGAGTTCTCGGACTATTCTACTGGCTTCAAGGATTATGATCCTCCAGATGTAAGCCTCCTGAGTAGCTACAGTTAAAGAAGAGACATCAACCCCTAGCTACATCTACCTTTTATGTTCTGTGTTCCCTGTGTCTGAAACACAGCAACTAAGAAATCATGGTAGAGGACTTGAATCTCCTCATTTTGACAAATGAGGATTATCAATATGAATAGCAATAGCCTTACCTGTGGCTTATTGAAAAGATGAGACGATTGATTACTTGTCTGACAATCCTTGCTACAGAATAGGATACTAATGCTAGTACTTAGAACTAAGCTGCGTTATTATGATTATTACTGATTGTGATTGCTTGTTACTCTCCTTTCTTGTCTCGACTGCTTTCCTTAATGCTTCCTCTTCTGCTCTGGAATCAGAAGTCAGCCCCGGAGCATTCACGCCTCCAGTCAGCCATCTAGGGGACACATCTTCGCCTCCTTCTTTCTGAGTAGAAAGGGACACAGGTGATGCATTATTGTGCTCAGACTTACAGACGGGGTGCTTGGCTCCAGGTCCAGTGAGATCTGCAGCCTGAGCTTGAGTCCGCTCTGCTGAGGCATTGAATGAAAAAGCTAAGGGACAGTGCCCAGGCCCTATGTTCAAGGCCTAGTACACACACACACTCCTTTCATCCATCCCTGAGAGATGCCAGCCTGACCCGCACACATACCTTCTATACAATGAACCCCCCTTCTTGTGGAGCCTGGGGAGAGGGCCCTCCCCTGCAGCCACCTCCTCACCCATGTTGTACCTGCAGTCAGTGCAGAGGGAAGCCAGGCCTGTACCAAAGGCTGTGAGCTCTGCTCCGAGGTCAACGGCTGCCTCAAGTGCTCGCCCAAGCTCTTCATCCTGCTGGAGAGGAACGACATCCGCCAGGTGGGCGTCTGCTTGCCGTCCTGTCCCCCTGGATACTTCGATGCCCGCAACCCCGACATGAACAAGTGCATCAGTGAGTGTGGGCAGGGCTAGAGAAGGGTGCCAAATGGGGGTGGAGGTGGTACAGATTTGTGACGGGAGTGCTGTGAACTGTTGGTGGCCAGTGAGGATAGACATGAAGTTCTTTTTTTGTTTTTAATGTTAAGAAAATGTACAGAATGATAATAGTTATTATATAAGTCAGGTAATGAGTACATTTCTTTTTTGAGGGGGAGGGGCGGTGTCATTGCTGGGGCTTGATCTTGGGGCCTGGGCTCTATCCCTGAGCTCTTTCACTCAAGCTTAGTGCTTTACCACTTTGAGCTACGGTGCCACTTCGGGTTTTCTGATGGTTTGTTGGAGATAAGAGTCTCATGGACTTTCCTGCCTGGGCTGGCTTTAAACCATGATCCTCAGATCTTACTCTCTGAGTAGCTAGGAATTAAAGGCGTGAGCCACTGGCACCCAGCCCATGAGTACATTTCTTTCTGGACAGTGTCACCACTTCCCTTACTCTCTCCCAGTTTTGGCCTCCCATCCTATCCACAAGTTGTATAGTCCATTTGAGACAAAGTTCTTGATTCAAATATTGTACCGTTGGCCAGATAGCTCCCGGGACAACCCTCCCCCTGCTTCCAATTGTATCCAAACTGGAATTCCATCTCTTCCTGCCGGATGTACACATGCTTCTAGTCCCATGGGTGACTCCAGTGTCCCAACTTGTCACTCAAGCTACAGACCTGATTGCCAACCTCTCACAGGTACCAGGCTCCTTTTGCCCACCCAGCCAAAACCAAATCCTGGCTGCTCCACTTCCCTTTCATCCTCATAGCCATTGTCTTACCCAGGCCTCTGACACCCCCAGCTGGACCAAGGCAGTAGCCTGGCCATCTGTTCTCCAGCCCTGATGTGGTTTCCCAACCCTCCCCCTGCACTGCAGCCACAAAGGTGCTTCTGAGATGCCCCCAACTCACTCCATCCCACTCACTTCTCCCAGAAGCCCTCTATCAGATCCACGGAAGTCCAAATCTGGGTAGGAACACTCTCTCCACCCCACCCCTACCCCCAGTCTTCAGGCTCTGCTTTCCACTCCATTATAGTTCTACAAACCCCAAGGCACATGCTGCCCTGTCCTCATCTCACCTCTGTAACTGTGTCTCTGTGCCATGCCTGGAGACAGACCATGATCTCACCCAGGTGACTGGTGTCAGCACCCCTCCAGCCACTCAGTGCTTGGGGGTATATGAAACCCTGGCAAATCTCGGGCCAGTGGGGCCTCACCACAACCTTTGGAGGGAGAAGCCCAGAGAGGAATCGGTGGAGCTAAACTTTGCTGACTGGACTCTGATCCCAACTTGGCTACTAGTCCATTGTATCACCCAGAGGTGGTCTCAGCCTCTCAACACCCATCTCCAAAATGGGAATATGAGTTCCTCTCACTAGGGAGAACGCTGTGAGAACACACCTATAAAGCTCTTAGTGGCTGACACTCAGTAAATGGTAGTTGCTGTTATTATTTTGGTTTTTATTTTACAGGCAACCAAGCCCAGTCAGAAATCAGAAAACATCATAAGGCTGAGATTAGACTGCAGGGAAGGGGAGGATCGGAGTTGAGATGATAGAGGTAAACCTAGGAGTTGTCCTTTCAGTCTTAAAGGTATTGGAGGAAAAGGGTTCTTGGCTGGGCCCGTGCTTGAGAGCCTGACAGCCTGGGCTTAAGGTGCCAAAGACTGGGAGTTACCAGCTTTGCCTGTGCTCTGGGAAGGGAGAGATGGTAGAAGGCCTGCCTGTGCTCAGCCAAGCCCTGCATAGCCCAGCTCCCCCAAAGGAGGGAACTGGCAGGAGGGAGGCAGGGAGGAACCTGAGAGTCCGACCAAGGGGGTTCCTGGAACTCAGCCTTGAACTGGGAGAGGAATTTGCCCTAGGTTTGCTCTCGCTCCTCCAAACAGATTCTTTCTGCCCTAGGCAGGAAGGGAATGAGAATTGGGTTGTGGTAGATGCTCAGCACTAGGGGAAAGGTGCTGCTCTCTGGAGACTCAGTTCTTCTGTGGTTAGGGGCCCTGGGATGCTGTGATATGCTGAAATTCTGCTCTCCCACCCCAAACCCAGAGTTCGCACTCTCTCTCTCTCTCTCTCTCTCTCTCTCTCTCTCTCTCTTCCTCTGAAACTGTCTCAGTTGGGCCTCACCTTGAGTTCCTGAGCCTGGGACTGGATTTGGGTTTGTATTTGCTGGTGGTAGCAAGATTCCCAGACAGCCCTCAAGAGTAGCCCCTTCACCTGCTTGCCCCTACCCTTTTCTCTTCTCTGAAGACTCCAGTAGTCAAAGCTTTGGATCAAGCTGGACGCCAGTGACTCACTCCTGTAATCCTAGCTGCTCAGGAGGCTGAGATCTGAGGATCACAGTTCAAAGCCAAGAAAGCCTGTGAGGCTCTTATCTCCAATTAACCACCAGAAAACTGGAAGTAGAGCTATGGCTCAGTTGGTAGAACTCTAGCCTTGAGCAAAATAGCTCAGGGACAGCACCCAGGCCCTGAGTTCAAGCCCCACAACTGACAACAATAACAACAACAAATCCTCTGGGTCAAGATCTGGTGGATGGGTGGGCATTGGGGCTGGGGATAAGAGGTCATGGCCACTCTGAACTGGGCCAGACCCAAGTCTAGTCCTGTTCCTCAGAATGCAAGATCGAGCACTGCGAGGCCTGCTTCAGCCACAACTTCTGCACCAAGTGCCAGGAAGGCCTGTACTTGCACAAAGGCCGCTGCTATCCTTCCTGTCCTGAGGGCTCCACCCCGGCCAATGGCACCCTGGAGTGCAGCAGTCCTGGTAAGCACCATGGGGTGCACATGTAGAGGGCAGAGTGGTGAGTAGGGCACTTTATAGAGAAAGCTTCCCATCACATGCATACCTCCTGGGATTTTTCTGAGGCTTTGGGCCTTCCAGGTTAGAGAGGTTCCAACCTGAAGCCAGGCACCAGTGGCCCATACCTGTAATCCTAGCTACTCAGCAGGCTGAGATCTGGGGATTATGGCTCAAAGCCAGCCCAGGCAGAAAAATCCATGAGACTTATCTCCAATTAACTCTCAAAACCCACTCAGAATTAGAGCTGTGGTTCAAGTGGTAGAGTGCTAGCCTTGAGCAAAAAGAAACTTAGGGACAAGCTAGGCGTTAGTGGCTCATGCCTGTAATACTAGTTACTCAGAAGCCTGAGATACGAGGATTGTTGTTCAAAGCCAGCCCATGTTGGTCATAGGGCTTGAACTCTGGGCCTGGGTGCTGTCCCTGCGCTCTTCACCTCAAGGTAAACGCTCTACCTCTTGAGCCACAGTGCCACTTCTGGTTTTCTACTGGTTTATTGGAGATCAGGGTCTCACGGACTTTTCTGCCCAGGCTGGCTTTGAATCATGATCCTCAGCTCTCAGCCTCCTGAGTAGCTAGGATTACAGGCGTGAGCCACCAGCGTCCAGCTCCCATGAGATTCTTTTTTTTTTTTTTTTTGTCAGTTGTGGGACTTGAACTCTGGGCCTGGGCGCTGTTCCTCAGCTCTTCAGTGCAAGGCTAGCACTCTACCACTTGAGCACAGCACCACTTCTGGCTTTTTCTGCTTATGTGGTGCTGAGGAATTGAACCCAGGACCTCATACATGCAAGGCAAGCACTCTACCACTGAGCCACCTTTCCAGCCCCATCCCGTGAGATTCTTACCTCCAATAGACTACCAGAAAACTGGAAGCGGTACTGTGGCTCAAGTGGTAGCTCAAGGCTAAGAGCTTGTGCTAAAGAGCTGAGGAACAGTGCCCAGGCCCAGAGTTCAAGCCCCATGAGCAACAAAAAAAAAAAAAATAAAATAAAAGAAAGAAGGAAGAAGGAAAGAAAGAAAGAAAGGAAAGAAAGAAAGAAACTCAGGGACAGCACCCAGGTCCTAATTTCAAGCCCCAGGACCAGCACCAAAAGAAATTTCTAGTCTAAGGCCCAGACAGTGAGCAAGTACGTGAGGCTCCCTTGGGGTTCCTAGGCCAGGAGAGCCCCCTCCTCTTTCTACTTCCCTTCTCCCTCTCTTTGTGCCAGCACAATGTGAAATGAGCGAGTGGTCCCCGTGGGGGCCCTGCTCCAAGAAGAAGAAGCTCTGTGGTTTCCGGAAGGGCTCTGAGGAGCGGACGCGCAGGGTACTCCACGCTCCTGGGGGGGACCACGCCACCTGCTCTGACACCAAGGAGACGCGCAGGTGCACAGTGCGGAGGACCCCATGTCCTGAGGGTGAGCTGCAGCCTCTGCCACCCCTGAGCCCAGTTGCTTAAGGTCAAATAGACAGAGCTCCACTTAGTCCCATGCTGTCAAACGGGGGGGGGGGGGGGGGGGGGGGGGGAGAGGGGGATGGCGGCCTGAGAGCAGTGTGCCCAGGATGCAGTGTGGCAGGAGTTGGCAGTTTCTTTGGCCACCATCGCTGCACTTTTCCCATGTCTGGGTGCCATTCACACTGCCAGGGCCCTCCGTCAGATGGGGAGGGGCTCAGCCCCAGAGACAAATAAGGATTCAAGCATCTGTGAAGAGGCCTGCTGCTCCTTATCTGCGCCCAGAGGTGGCCAGTGGGGGATGGGGTGGGGATCATCATACCTGTCTTGTGAGCTACACTGGAAAGTGCTCTTGGCCCTTAGAGAATCTAAGGTCTGAAAAAGAATGAGGAAGAAGCCAGGACACTGGTGGCTCACGCCTGTAATCCTAGCTACTCAGGAGGCTGAGATCTGAGGATCTCGGTTTGAAGTCAACCCAGGCAATAAAGTCTGTGAGGCTCTTATCTCCAATTAACCACCAGAAAACTGGAAATAGAACTGTGACTCAAAGTGGTAGAACACTAGCCTGGACCAAAATAGCTCAGGAACAGCACCTAGGCCCTGAGTTCAAGCCCCAAGATGGACCAAAAAAAAAAAGAATGAGGAGAAGGAGGCAGTGTGGTATAAACTGAGGAGGAAAAAGTGAAAAGATTCTTGAAACCCTCTCTCAGGACTCAGGCTTAGGGTCCTCCAAAGCTGCTGCTGGCCATCTCCCCACAGCCTCCCTGCCTAGCTCCTGGCTATATCTCAGGAGGAGGAGGTTGTGGAGATACAGCATCTCTGTTCATTGTTTTGTTGATTCTTCTTGCTGTTGGTACTGTTGCAGGGCAAGAGAGGAGGAAGGGAGGCCAGGGCCGGAGGGAGAATGCCAACAGAAACCTGGCCAGGAAGGAGAACAAGAAGGCAGGCCTGGGTTCTCGGAGACGCAAGGGGAAGCCACAGCCACAACCAGGGACGGCAGGACCACCCACATCTGCAGGGCCCACCTAGGCACCGTGTCCAACCTGGCCATGCAGAAGAGCCCAGCTCTGCTCTGCATCATGAACGCTTTCCAGAACTGGAGTGTCAGAGCAGCTCATACATATACACTCTATCCACGCATACATACACACACACAATGATACCAAATGTGTGTGTGTGCATGCATTGTGAGTGCACTCGCACACGCGCACACACATGCACACATATTACCACCAGGAGACACATCCATGCATACATACATACTCACTTGATTTATTATGGTTCCAGTGGACATAACAGAATATTTCCCAGCACTCAAATCTCAATGTTACAGAGTGGAACTTTCTGGAAGAACTGCTGAGATTGCATCTACTGAGTGTGGCAGACAAGAGCCAAAGCTCCAGGACTTCAGAAGAGTGGCCTTTCTCCTACCCCAGTGCAGCATGCCCAGCGTTGTGACTTGATCATTGGAGAGAATTGTTACACATCCATGACACATCATCAGGCCTGACCTGACTCAGAAAACTGCTTAAAGTTTATTTCAAATTAAAAAGAAAAGAAAAAAACCCCCACAGCCTTAGTAGTCACAGGTATCATTCTTTTCCTTGGAGTAAGAAGTGACAAGAGTTGAATGCTAGCTACTATGGAGGTTGAGATCTAAGGTTTATAATTCCAGCCCAGCAGGAAAGTCCAATTAAACTCTAAACAGCCAGAAGTGGAGGAAGTATAACCCAAGTGGTAGAGTGCTAGCTAGCCTTGAGCAAAAAAGCTAAGGGACAGTGTCCAGACCCTGAGTTCAAGCACTAGTAATAGCAAAAAAGTGGGGGGCGGGGGGAGGGGAGGGCCAAATTTCAAGAAACCCACATAGCCTCTGTGACAGAGGTTACAGCACAGGAAGAAAACTTTAGGAATACCCCGAGAGTGACAAGCAGACTCTCTGCATTCTGGTTACTCAGAATATGGTGGGCCACAAAGCAGCTTGTTAGGAGTGAGAATCTCAGTCCCATCCTAGACCTGTTGAACCATAGTCTGCATCTGAACAAGGTTTCAGGAGTTCATGTGCACAGCCAAGCTCAAGGAACACTGTCCTGGGCTGGGAAGGTGGCTCAGTGGTAGAGCGCTTGCCTTGCATGCATGAGGCCCTGGGTTTGATTCCTCAGCACCACATAAGCAAAAAGAAAAAAGCTGGAAGTGGCGCTGTGGCTCAAGTGGTAGAACACTAGCCTTGAGCTGAAGAGCTGAGGGACAGCTCCCAGGCCCAGAGTTCAGGCCCCACGACCGGACCCCCCCCCCAAAAAAAAGGAACACTGTCCTAATTACCTCTCAGCAGGAGTCAGGGGACCAAGCCAGCTCTGGTGGAGGACCATTCAGCTAGACATCGTAGTTTTAATCACAGCTCCTCAGGACATTGAGATGGGAAGGACTGCAGTTCAAGCCAGCCTGGGCAAAAAGTTGGCAAGACCTCATCTCAACCAGTAAAAGCTGGGCATGGTAGTATATGCCTGTCTGTCATTCCAGCTCTGTGGGAAGCAAAAATAGTAAGATTTCAATACAGGCCAGCCTGGGCATAAACTAGAGACCCTATTCAAAAATAAATAAAAGGGGCTTAAAGCGGGGACAAGGCTCAAATGCTAGAGAACCTTTCTAGTAAGTACAAGGTCTTGAGTTCAAACCTCAGTACTACCCCACCCAAAGAAAAGGGATGAGTAGAATATCTACAGAAGGGCTATGGCTATGGGGACAGTCCTAGGGGGAGGGAGTGCTCTTGGAGATAGTTGGGAACAGTCCCACTCTAAGGTAAGGGAGTGAGTGGAATGATTTTTTTTGTGACATTCTGGTGTCCACTGGCAACTGTCCACCTGCCAGGCTGTGAATGAGGTAGTTGGTATCCAGCAGGGAGCCATTTGTGGCCTTGTCTTCTTGGAGCTTAGAGATCAGCAGGAGAGACAGGTGTGTATCACATGATTATAGGAACACATGCATAATTGCATATGAATGAAGTCCTGTCAGGCAAATTCTGGCACACATGTGTAGCCATGGTGAAATAGATTGAATTAATCTCCAGGAGACTTCTCAGAGGAGGTGATATTTGAGCCAAGCTCTGAAAGCTAAGTAGAAAGATTTAAGATCAAGACTGGATGGTTGACACTTTAGACAAGTGTGTCCAATAGAAGTACTTGAGCCACATACATAATTTAAATTTCCCTAGTAACCACAATTTAGTTAACCAAGTACATGCAAAATATTATCTTAACAAATTATCATTAGAGGTCAGGTGCCAGTGGCTCAAATCTATAATCCTAGCTAATCAGGAGGTTGAGATCTGATAATCACTATTCAAAGCCAGCCTAGACACACATACACATAATAGATACATATATACATACACATATATATATGTGTACATACATATATATATATATACATACAGGTATACATATATCATTCCAGATTTCATATATATGTGTGTGTTATAAATATTCTTAGAGCCAGGCACCAGTGGCTCACGCCTGCAATCCTAGCTACTCAGGAGGCTGAGATCTGAGGATCACGGTTCATAGCCAGCTTGGGCAGGAAAGACTGTGAGACTCCTATCTCCAATAAACCACTAGAAAAAAAAACAAAAAACTGGAAGTGGCACTGTAGCTCAAGTGGTAGAGTGCTCGCCTTGAGCTGAAGAGCTGAGGGACAGCGCCCAGAGTTCAAGCCCCATGACCGACAAAAAAATAAAATAAATATTTTTAGAGAAATCTTTCACATTAAAAAAAGTCGGACCCCCCAAAAAATAAAAAGTCAGAGTGGGACACCAGTGGCTCATGCCTGTAATCCTAGCTACTCAGGAGGCTGAGATCTACAAATCATAGTTCAAAATAAAATCCATGAAATACTTCTTATCTCCAATAACCCCCAAAAGCCAGAAGTGCTCCAGTGGCTCAAGTGGTAGAGCACTAGCCTTTAACAAAAAAAAGCTTAAGGACAGCACCCAGGCCCTGAATTCAAGTCCTGGGACTGGCAAAAAAAAAACAAAAAACAAAAAACAACTTCACTATTCTTTGAGCATAACTTAATTTGGATGCCAAAATTTCACCAGAAATATTTGATCTCTATTTTGACTTCTTACAAATTAAGATTGAAGTGGAAATGTGCATACTCCAATTGTTTTAAGAGTAAGGTTCCCAGGAATTGGGTATTTTAAATTTAGTCAATTAAAATTACACAACTTAAAATTTCAGTTCTTCAGTTGCATGGGGACCATATTTCAAGTGCTCAGTATCTGCAGGTATCTGGTAGGCCCTGCCTAGGACAGCACAATCCCACTTAGGAGACACAACATATGTTAATATCCTGTGGCAAAAAGAGTGGTATTGAAGGAAAGGAAAGAATAGAGGTGGAAGACTTGGAGAAAAAGTGAAGTGAGGGGCTGGGAAGGTGGCTCAGTGGTACCGTGCTTGCCTTGCATGCATGAGGCCTTGGGTTCGATTCCTCAGCACCACATAAGCAAAAACAATAAAAAAAAAAAAAAGCCGGAAGTGGCACTGTGGCTCAAATGGTAGAGTGCTAGCCTTGAACTGAAGAGCTGAGGGACAGCGCCCAGGCCCAGAGTTCAGGCACCACGACTGGACCCCCCCCCAAAAAAAAAAGTGAAGTGGGATGATTTCAGAAAAGTCTTCTTGGAGCCTTTATTCTCCAAGCCCAGGAAGGTGCTGAAAGGTGATAAGTACTACATTAACATGAAAAAATTTGCATTTTCCAAAGATCCTGTTGTCTGCAGTAGGAAAGACAGGGTGAATGGAGATTGCTCCAGACGCTGCTGCTGTGGTCCAGCGGGGAGGCATGTTGGAGGCTTAGCCTAGAGTGGGAGCTGTGAAATTGGAGGGAAGTGGAAGAAGTCAAAGGTATTCGGAAAATAATGCTGGATGAGTTGGGTGATACTCTGGGAATGAAAGGTGCAGGGAAGGGGGGAGGGGTAAAAAATATAAATAAATAAAAAAGAAAGGTGCAGGGAAGTGGAGGCATCAAGGACAAAACCATTCTTTCTGGCTCAAACACAGACAGGTGATGGAGCTGTATGCCCAGAAGGGAAGCCTGTGATGAAGACCAGTAAGGGAAAAGGAAGAATAGAAACTTGACTTTGAGGGCTGGGAAGGTTGGCTCAGTGGTAGAGCGCTTGCCTTGCATGCCTGAGGTCCTGGGTTCGATTCCTCAGCACCACATAAGCAAAAAGAAAAAAGCCGGAAGTGGCACTGTGGCTCTAGTGGTAGAGTACTAGCCTTGAGCTGAAGAGCTGAGGGACAGCACCCAGGCCCAGAGTTCAGGCCCCATGACCGGACCCACATGCTGGTGGAGATGATGCACAGAACACTGACAGATCTAACCACAGGGCATTAGAGGGTGGGGCACTGTACCAGAGAACACATAGGTATGGAAATCACTCAGAAGCTGGGTTCCCGTGGCTCCTGCCTATAATCCTAGCTACTGAGAAGGCTGAGATCTGAGGATTGTGGTTCAAAGCCAGCCCTAGCAGAAAAGTCCATGAGATTCTCATCTCCAATTAACCATCAGAAAATTGGAAGTGGTGCTGTGGCTCAAGTGGTAGAGCACTAGCCATGAGCTAATGAGTTCAAGGACAGTGACCAGGCCCAGAATTCAAGCCCCACAACTGACCGGAAAAAAAAAAAAGGAAAGAAAGAAAGAAAGAAAGAAAAATTACTCAACTGTATCTCACACACCTGTAATCCTAGCTACTCAGGAGGCTGAAAACCATGGTTCAAAGACAGCCTGGGCAGGAAAATCCACAAGTACTTTTCTCCAATTAACCAGCAAAAAGTCAGAAGTGGAGCTGTAGCTCAAATGGTAGGGTGCCAGCCTTAAGCAAAAAAAAAAAAAAAGCTAAGGGGTAGTTGCCTGGGCCCTGAGTTCAAGTCCCAGTACCTACACTAAAAAAGGAGGAAGAAGAGGAAGTGAAGGAAGGAGAGAAGAAAGAGAAAGAGGAAGAAGAAAAAGAAAAGGGAAAGAGGTGTGGGCTTGGAAGAGTAAGAGGATAACTAAAGGGGTGGGGGGAGAATCACTGATGAGCTTAGGACTCAGCCTGCTCACACTTTACCCAATGCTGTTTAGGGGAGGGGTGGAAGCAGACAATTCTTTTAGGAAGTTTGTGTGTGTTGTGGGGGGTGTGTGTGTGTGTGTGTGTGTGTGTGTGTGTGTGTTTCAGTCCTGTGGCTTTGAACTCAGGGCCTGAGCACTGTCTCTGAGCTTCTTTTGCTCAAGGCTAGCACTCTACCACTTGAGCACAGTGCCACTTCTGGCTTTTTCTGTTTATGTGGTACTGAGGAATCAAATCCACGGCTTCCTGCATGCTAGGCAAGCACCATCTTTAAGCCACATTCCCAGCCTTTTTGAAAGTTTTGCTGAAGAAAAGGGGAGAAAAATACCAAAGAGGCTAAAAAAAGACTTGAGTGAGTTGCTGCTACTTGATGATCCTGGGGTTTGAGCTCAGGATCTCATGTTTGCCAAGTGCTCTAT